GGTTGTCACTAGCCAGTTAATGTGATTTTCTATTTAGTTAATGTTCAGACAAATAGAATGTATGTTCTGTTTATGTGTTGTGGCATGCCATGTATGAACGAAACCATAGGCAAAGACCTAGACTGTAAATATAATCTCACCAATAAAATATCAATATATAAAAGTTCAATGAATAGCGATAAATCCTTATGGGGCAGGTATCTCGGTACTCAAAATGCTGGTATAAACAGCCAACCAGTAATTGGCAGAAATGCGTACTCACCGGAAGTGCATATTAAAAGCACCTGTAGTAATGAATGATAGCTGCTGGGCTGTCTCTCCGGTCATCGATCCTAAAAGAATGATGAGATTCTGCCTGGTCCAGAGGTCCTCCTTGGGATGGACTGGTACTCTGCTTAGAAAGGGCTCCCTTCTCTGGATATGGGATATCACAAGGATCTCCTGCAGATGTGATAGCTCGCATAGGAGCTCAAAAAACAGGTGCCCAATAGTGTAGTATTTCAGAAAGATTTGTTGGAGCATAAAACAAACATAGGGCAGTGTGCATCATATACTATTGACAAAGGATATTTTGCAGTACTGACCCCTTTAAAGATGGCCGCCGAGCCTCCTCGTGGCTCCAGCGGCATAAACATCACGCTCTGTACAGCTCCTCCTTCCTGAGGCCTTTCGTGCTAAAAGCACATCATCAGAGGGGAGGCTGGACGTCCATTGGCCGATTGGCCGATTTCCACGGCAATGATGGGCAAATCGGCCGATCTTTTTACCGATTAAAAAAAATGCACATGAGCCGTGAACTGCAAGAAGAAGGAAAAGCAGAAAAAGAAGAAGAAGATGAAGACAAAGAAAAAGAAGAAGAACATCTGTATCTATTTGTATCCGTTTCGGGTACAGATGTTTCTATTCGGATACAAATAGATACAATGTTGCAACCGCAATACTTTTAAATGTCAAAAATAATAGTGTCACTGCAGAGAGCTCCGCTATTATATTTGACATTTAAAAATATTGTGGTTGCAACATTGTATCTATTTGTATCCGAATAGAAACATCTGTATCCGAAATGGATACAAATACAGTCAGGTCCATAAATATTGGGACATGGACACAATTCTAACATTTTTGGCTCTATACACCACCACAATGGATTTGAAATTAAACAAACAAGATGTGTTTTAACTGCAGACTGTCAGCTTTAATTTGAGGGTATTTACATCCAAATCAGGTGAACAGTGTAGGAATTACAACAGTTTGCATATGTGCCTCACACTTGTTAAGGGACCAAAAGTAATGGGACAATTGGCTTCTCAGTTGTTCCATGGCCAGGTGTGTGTAATTCCCTCATTATCCCAATTACAATGAGCAGATAAAAGGTCCAGAGTTCATTTCAAGTGTGCTATTTGCATTTGGAATCTGTTGCTGACAACTCTCAAGATGAGATCCAAAGAGCTGTCACTATCAGTGAAGCAAGCCATCATTAGGCTGAAAAAACAAAACAAACCCATCAGAGAGATAGCAAAAACATTAGGCGTGGCCAAAACAACTGTTTGGAACATTCTTAAAAAGAAGGAACACACCGGTGAGCTCAGCAACACCAAAAGACCCGGAAGACCAAGGAAAACAACTGTGGTGGATGACCGAAGAATTCTTTCCCTGGTGAAGAAAACACCCTTCACAACAGTTGGCCAGATCAAGAACACTCTCCAGGAGGTAGGTGTATGTGTGTCAAAGTCAACAATCAAGAGAAGACTTCACCAGAGTGAATACAGAGGGTTCACCACAAGATGGAAACCATTGGTGAGCCTCAAAAACAGGAAGGCCAGATTAGAGTTTGCCAAATGACATCTAAAAAAGCCTTCACAGTTTTGGAACAACATCCTATGGACAGATGAGACCACGATCAACTTGTACCAGAGTGATGGGAAGAGAAGAGTATGGAGAAGGAAAGGAACTGCTCATGATCTTAAGCATACCACCTCATCAGTGAAGCATGGTGGTGGTAGTGTCATGGCGTGGGCATGTATGGCTGCCAATGGAACTGCTTCTCTTGTATTTATTGATGATGTCACTGCTGACAAAAGCAGCAGGATGAATTCTGAAGTGTTTCGGGCAATATTATCTGCTCATATTCAGCCAAATGCTTCACAACTCATTGGACGCCGCTTCACAGTGCAGATGGACAATGACCCAAAGCATACTGCAAACGCAACCAAAGAGTTTTTTAAGGGAAAGAAGTGGAATGTTATGCAATGGCCAAGTCAATCACCTGACCTGAATCCGATTGAGCATGGATTTCACTTGCTGAAGACAAAACTAAAGGGAAAATGCCCCAAGAACAAGCAGGAACTGAAGACAGTTGCAGTAGAGGCCTGGCAGAGCATCACCAGAGATGAAACCCAGCGTCTGGTGATGTCTATGCGTTCCAGACTTCAGGCTGTAATTGACTGCAAAGGATTTGCAACCAAGTATTAAAAAGTGAAAGTTTGATGTATGATTATTATTCTGTTCCATTACTTTTGGTCCCTTAACAAGTGTGAGGCACATATGCAAACTGTTGTAGTTCCTACACCGTTCACCTGATTTGGATGTAAATACCCTCAAATTAAAGCTGACAGTCTGCAGTTAAAGCACATCTTGTTCATTTCATTTCAAATCCATTGTGGTGGTGTATAGAGCCAAAAATGTTAGAATTGTGTCCATGTCCCAATATTTATGGACCTGACTGTAGATACAATGTTGTAACTTTGCTATACTTTTAAATGTCAAATATAATAGCGGTGTCCCTGCAGAGAACTCAGATTTTAAAGCAGATTTTAAAAGCAGGCCGTAGACGGGACGGAAATCAGCCGATTTTTTTACCAATGGTGGTAACATCGACTGATTGAAAAAAAAAATTAAATAAAAAAATTATAAAAAAAATGTAAATAAACAAAAATACCTACATCAAGGTTTTATTTAAGCCTGTGCCAGAGTTAGTGTTTGGGTCAAGGTCAGAGACAAAGGTAAATGTCAAGGTCAAAGTTCAGGATCAAGGGTCAGGGCCAGTTTTTTTTTCTTTTTTTTGGTCAGGGTTTTTTTTTTTAATTTTTAAATTAGTATCAGTGTCAGTTAGTGGCAGGATAAAAAAAGCAAATTGCACACTATTGTTTCTGGGCTATACTACAGGTGCAAAGAACAACTAACATACACACATGTGGTATCGCTGTGATCGTCAGGAGCAGGAGAAATTATTTTGAGTTGTTCTTTGATGGTAGCTTATGGTAGTATCAATAAATATACAGCTAAATTTAAAAAAAATGTTTTTTTTTACTATTTTGGGCCAGTTTTCCTTTAGTAATAAAAAAATAATCAGGAGATATCCATTACCATTTACTACCAAATAAAACCTTAATTTGTCCAGAAAAAAAACAAGGTATAATCCACCTGGATGCACAAAGTAGTTGTGATGATATGTATGGTTTTGCTAACACAGGTGAAAGTTGCAAACTTGTGCTTAAATTTGTTATACCCTTAGGCACAAAGGGGTTAAGGAAAGCCTAACATGGAACTACACTGCATCCAAGCACCACAAACCAAAAACACTATTTATTTCATTTATAATACTGAAATCAACCCCCATCCATTCATGATTCCATGGTTTATTTTTATTTATTTACTGGTACTTATATATCGCTGTCAATTTATGCAGCGCTTTACATATAAATTGTACATTCACATCAGTCCCTATCCCTCAAGGAGCGTACAATCTAAGGTCCCTAACTTACATTCATACATACACATACTAGGGACAATTTAGACAGGATCCAATTAGCCTACCATCATGTCTTTGGAGTGTGGGAGAAAACCAGAGAACACGCAAATTCCAAGCAGGTAGTGATTTGGATTCGAACCAGAGACTCTAGTGCTGCTAGGGGGAAGCGCTAACCACTTAGCCAATGTGCTGATAAATCTCTTTCAAAAGCACTCCCTAGCATTTCTAGCCATGGTCATCTTGAGTAAGGACAGATGATTCATTTAGAATTAGCTTCCTGGAATACATCCGCTCTTAGTTTAGGCATGCAGGAAGGAGGATGTGCTTAGCTGAGAAAACCCCTCCTCCCCTCCTGAAGACTCCTGGGTTGTATGACACTATTTGCCAAGGCCTGTAAACCAGGAAGTAACTGAAGAAATGTAAAAAAAAGTTTAAAACAAGTAAGTAAATATGATATACTTTCTTCTCTATGTACTAATTCTAGCAGCATAAGAATTAAAAATACTTATTGTAGTTTAACCACTTCCCTTCCGGCCCATTTATATAAACGGCCAGACAGGAGCAGTGCAGGAGCAGGTTGCGGTTTATAAACGGCGCCTGCATTTACAGCCTGTGAGCGCTCCCTGGGACCTCCATACGGGACCTCTGTGTGAGGTCCCGATCATGTGATCACTGATTGGCCAATCAGTGATCACATGAATAGTAGTAAGCAAGATGTTACTTCTGACATCATTGCTTACTACTAGTGAAATCTGTGAATGATCACAGAGATCACATGGTACAAGGCTATTCACAACAACCTTGTACCATGTGACAAGCTGTGACTAATCACAGCACTCACAGTATTTCTGAATGGCTGCAAGAATGCAGCCAGAGATAAGGAGAAATGATTGCTTTTACAACCTTTATGGGTGTAAACACAATCAGTGTAAAAAAATAAAAAAAAAAACTTCATCAGCCCTCACAGGTAGTACAGTGTCACTGTGGTGACACTGTACTGCTAGGGTGACAGTATGTTAAAAAAAAAATCCCATAAAATAATAATATAAAAAAAATAAAAAAAAAATGTTTTGAAAAATTATAATTTTTGGTTATAAATAGAGATGAGCGAAGTATTCAAAAATTCGATTCGGCGAATTCGAGGAATAAATTCGATTCGAGGCGAATATATTCGCTGCGAATTTAACTTATAAAAGGGTGTTTCTAGGCTTCAGAGAGCCTTTATATTAGTGCAGAACACTATACCTTTAAATAAATACTGTCAGTCAGTATGACATGCAGATGAGTGCCGTCAATCTTAGAATCACCGCACACTTCACTCATTTGGGCAGTCACGGGGCCAAAACCAGAGTGTGGAGCCACAGTGTGGCGGTGGAGGCAGCAGCAATGGGAGGCCATACAGCACCCTATGACAAAAATGGAACCCACCAGCAGTGTGAGGAGACCTGAAAGTGGCACATGGCAGAGTGTGGCGATGGAGACAGCAGCAATGGGAGGCCGTACAGGGACCCATGACACACTCTGGACCTGGGCAGCAGCATGAGGAGGCGGTACGGGGGCACATGGCAGATTACGGGCCTGGCAGCAGCAATTGGGAGGCCCGTAATCTGCCAGCACCCTATGACAAAATGGAACACACCAGCAGTGTGAGGAGACCTGAAAGTGGCACATGGCAGAGTGTGGCGATGGAGACAGCAGCAATGGGAGGCCGTACAGGGACCCATGAGACACTCTGGACCTGGCAGCAGCATGAGGAGGCGGTACAGGGGCCCATGACAGATTACGGGCCTGGCAGCAGCATGAGGAGTTGGTACGGGGGCCCATGGCAGATTACGGGCCTGGCAGCAGCAATGGGAGGCCATACAGCACCCTATGACAAAATGGAACCACCAGCAGTGTGAGGAGACCTGAAAGTGGCACATGGCAGAGTGTGGCGATGGAGACAGCAGCAATGGGAGGCCGTACAGGGACCCATGAGACATTCTGGACCTGGCAGCAGCATGAGGAGGCGGTACGGGGGCCCATGGCAGATTACGGGCCTGGCAGCAGCAATGGGAGGCCCGTAAATCTGCTAGCACCCTATGACAAAATGGAACCCACCAGCAGTGTGAGGAGACCTGAAAGTGGCACATGGCAGAGTGTGGCGATGGAGACAGCAGCAATGGGAGGCCATACAGGGACCAATGACACACTCTGGACCTGGCAGCAGCATGAGGAGGCGGTACAGGGGCCCATGGCAGATTACAGGGGAGGCCCGTAATCTGCCAGCACCCTATGACAAAATGGAACCCACCAGCAGTGTGAGGAGACCTGAAAGTGGCACATGTTTGGGGCATGATTCATGGCGGATTTTAGTCAGTTGTGTCAGGAACTGGTGGTTTGAATCCAGACTAATCCACGCCTGATTCATTTTCACAAACGTGAGTCTCTCCACACTTTGGGTGGACAGTCGTGTCCTCCGCGGAGTTACAATACCTCCTGCCGCACTAAACACGCGCTCCGATGCCACGCTACTGGCCGGGCATGACAGCCTTTCAAGGGCAAATTCAGCTAGTTGGGGCCCAAAGGTCAAGTTTCGTTGCCCAGTAGTCAAGGGGATTGTCTACCTCGGTTGGCAGGGTGCTGTCCAAGTAGGCCCAAGCCTGTTGTTTGAGGTTTCCCGCTCCAGGTCCACCTGATGCTGCTTTCTGCTGCGGCTGGTTAGTAGTTTCCTCACTGCGCTGGTAAGAAAGCACTCTATGACTGCAGACTGAGGCAGCCGTGCGGGGGTGGGGC